AGAGAGAGAGGGAGAGAGAGAGAGAGAGAAATGAGTAGTCCCTCACCTGTAGAAAGGAGAGGATAACTCCGATAAACAGGCCCGTCACAATGAAGGTAATCCCGCCCAGGACAGAGTACGGGATGGTGATGAACACGGCGCCCACCTTGCCAAGCACAGCGAACAAGATGAAGATGATTCCTGCACACTGGAACACTCGGCGACTCACCACCTGAACGACAAAGACAGACAATACTCTCACATATATAACTTCAACATAAGTTAAGGACCACTTGCAAACACTCTTGAGTAGTCTCGACCTGCACGTGGGCGTTCTTGGACTGGTCTAGTGGCTTGATGGCGCTGCCTCAAGTGGACAATGACAGAGTGTGACACTGCAAGCCTTCTGGAAACTTCTCGGGCTCCAACTCCATCCTGCAGCCATGCCATAGCTCTGGCCCGATCAAAGTTCCTCAGTTTTCGTCTTGATGGCGTGCTGATGCGATACTGGATTTTGCGCAAACGGCGGCTTTTTATTGCCTCCAAAGTGAGCACAGTTCGAGACCAAACGTCCGTTCATCATACAGTTTATGACGTGAATCAGAAATTTTAACTGAGGAATGTCCGTGGTGTCGCACACAAGTCGATAAAAAACATAAAATTTTGCTAAATTTCCCTGAGGATTTCCGCACTGCATGTGGTGATTTTGCCCATTTTGGAAGCTTTGCAGTACGCATTGGTAACCCATTAACACTTTCAGAGGAAACAATTTTGAAACATTCCTTGCTGTCTTTTTTCGGATTAAAAAAAAAATCAGGGCTGTCTGTCAAGGTGGTCCTTAACTTCTGTTGAAGTCTGTTTTATTATTATTATTATTATTATTATTATTATTATTATTATTATTATTATTATTATTATTATTATTATTATTATTAGTATTAATATTATTATTATCATTATTGTTATTATTATCATTATTATTATTATTATTATTATTATTATTATTATTATTATTATTATTACGATTATTAATAGGCCTATATTATGTTTTCATGTGTGCAATCGTGTGTATTTTAATGATGTTTTCTTATATAATATACATATATATATAGGCCTATATATATATTATATATATATATATATATATATATATATATATATGTATATATCCAGCCATTATGTCTACGTATTACTTGCATTTGTAAAATGAACACGCTCAGGCACGCGCGCACACACACACACACACACACACACACACACACACACACACACACACACACACACACACACACACACACACACACACACACACACACACACCAACACAAACACAAACATACACACGCATACATACACACATAACATATTTAGCCTATACACGACGTTTAGTTTCGTGCGACAGTCGCTCGCGATCAGTCACGAGGTGTGTAGTCGCGCCCAAATTTTCAGTCGCGTGCGACAGAAGCGACAAAAGTCTCTCCTTATGTGCGACGCGACGTTAAGTGGCGCGTGACTGGTAAATCCAATTGGCGACTTGCAGTTCACAACAGAGAGATAGAAGCAAGTTATATTTTGCACATGAGCTCATATGGCCTTATAATGCAGCTCCGTAAAACACTTACTTACACACACACAACAACAACAACAACAACAACAACACACACACACACACACACACACACACACACACACACACACACACACACACACACACACACACACCTCACACGGCGTGTCGACAAGCACTTCTTGGCAAGATATTTTGACCAATGGTGATGCTCTGAACCTGTCATACCCCCAGTCTGTCGTAGGCGATGAAACCTTCAATCGCTACATGGAGCGATCGGACGAGAAGTCGCACACGACGAGACGGTTTCTTTTTACTTGATTGATTTTAGAGCCGATCGAGTCCAGGATCGAGAGGACAGTGGCCACAAAGAAAGCGATGAACCCGCCCAGGTTGAAGGAGAGAGGGCCGAAGTTGCCTGTGACAAGGACATTAGACGATTGTGAGGCATCATGGTGAAATAATTAGGCCCTCGTCAAAATTAGGAAATCAAAGAAACTGCAAATTTCTGTGTAGATTTTACTGGTAAAACTTAAATGTTAATTTTCAGTTTCCAAGGACTCTCAAGCATTGAAAGTCACCAACCTTTGGTGGCCATTTTGTCGCTAATTTTACCTCCGAAACCAGCTGACCCCCACCGCCTTCTATCACAAATATCTGAACTTCTATTCAAAATATACGGACACTTTTTTCACCGAAAACAAGACAAATGAACAAGCTTTTAGAAGATAACAATAACTCCACATGTCCCCAAACTGACGAGCTTCTGAATCCACCACGTTGTGACACAATTGTATACAATACAATATATATTATATTGAAGGGTTCAAACAAGACTAGTCTTATTATGCGTGTTGCAGGGTTCAGTTCGGGTTTGAGTGTGTGTGTGTGTGTGTGTGTGTGTGTGTGTGTGTGTGTGTGTGTGTGTGTGTATGTGTGTGTATGTGTGTGTGTGTGAATGTGTGTATGTGTGTGTGAGTATGAGTGTGTGTGTGTGTGTGTGTGTGTGTGTGTGTGTGTGTGTGTGTGTGTGTGCTGACT